AGTTAATCTGTTTCTCCACATGAGAGAGAGAGAGAGAGAGAGAGAGAGAGAGAGAGAGAGAGAGAAGGACAGAGTTAACTTAGACTAGACCAATAGTGCGAAAAGGATGAATTTCCAAGCCCGAAGTCATGTTTTTTTCACCTAATCCTGAAGAAGACAGCAATCGCAACCGAATAGAACAAAAAGAATAACTAAGGGGCATAACAAAGAATTACCCTGTTAAGATCATATTAATAGCCACTTAACATCCACACAACACTTTAATGTTTGAGAAAATAAAATATACAAGTGCTTTAACTAGATGGTAGCTATAATCATCCTTCATTCAGCTCAGCCTCTTGTGTTAAAAGAAGACGATAAATGTGAAAATAAGTATAGCTGAATAAATCAAGTGAAATAAATCACTTCTTATTTCCCAAGCGAAATTGAGGTATCATGTTAAGCAAAGAAGGATCCTTCGCTATAGCAGCTATTAGTAACTTTACTGTACTTGCATTACATGAGAATCCCCTTTCAGTCATTTCCTTCAAAAAAGTTGTCATTTCACTAGTTTTGCCAAACTTGAGAAATCCTCGCACAATAACATTGTAAGTGTAGCTGTTTGGCGAACAACCATTGTCCTCCATTTTTCTTAGCATATCTTTGGCTTCATCTAACAACCCTTCTAGACATAATCCATTTATTATTGCAGTCCATGTAATCAAATTGGGAAACAATCCAATCAAAGAAAGCTTCTCAAAAATAGCATGAGCTTTGCCGAGCTGACCATTTTTGCACAATCCGTCAATAATAACAGTGTAAAGTTCAATATCAATATCTTTTCTCTTTTTTTCCAACTCATGAAATAGCAACATAGCTTTCTCAACAAGTCCATTCTGAATATAACCACGGAGCAAAATGCAATTAGTGCATAAATCAGGTCTGAGCCCCATAGAAAGCATATCATCATAGAATTTTTGCACAATGTCAGTTCTTCCAACTTCAAACAGATATGGCAAGATAGTATTGTAGGTAACAATGCAAGCTCTCAATCCATTTCGAGAAATATCGTGAAACAAATGCATGGCCTCATCTAATTTCTTTTTCTTACAGTATCCATTTATTAATATGTTATAGCTAATAATGCTAGGCTCAATGCTCTTATCAATCATGGAATCAAAAATTCTCCTTGCTCTATCCATTTGACCGCGTAAGCAATATCCATCAACTATCACATTGTAGGTGACCACATCTGGCTCTATACCTTTTTCGATCATGTGTCTCATTACCTTCTCAGCATCTTCAATTTTTCTTTCTTTGCATAATCCATCTATCACCATGGTCAAGGTGTGCACATCTGGATAAATATTAAGATTTATCATTTCTAAGAACAAAGTCCTAACCTTTTCCCACTTACCAAACTTACACAAACCATCAATCAACACATTATATGTGATAATTGTCGGAGGCATGCCTTTTTGTTTCATCTCTTCGAAAAGGCTAATAGCAGCATCTATCATTCTATCTTTGCATAGGGCATCTATAACAATGTTGTAGATACGTGTGTCGGGTTTAATGCTTCCTTGTTCCATTACCTTAAGTAAATCAAAAGTTTTCTGAGTATGGCCCCTTTTGCTAAGCCCATTCATGACGGTCAAATATGTGACTTCATTAGGCTTACATATATTCTCTCTCACCAACTTTTTGAGCAAGACAACTGCATCTTTGATCTTATTTTCAGCAAAGAGTCCCCTTAATAAGGTGTTAAAGGTGATAACATCAAATGGAATGCCATTCTTCAAGTAAATGGCTAACACTGAAAATCCACAGTCAGAACAATGCATTAGGCAATAATTGTTAATCGCTATATTCAAGATGGAATCACTAATTGGGATGCCTAATTTCAGCATTTCTCGAAAAAGGGAAACAACAGAAGAGTAATGCTTCATATTTACCACAGTCTTTAATAATTGGGAGAAGTCGAAAACAGAAGGAAGAGGCTGCTTTCTTACCATTCGACGGAATAGACTCACAGCTTCATCTAAACACTTGACATTCTCAAACCTGCTAGCTACCCCAATTTTACCCTTTGCCGGAATGGATGTATTGCTATGAGAAGAAGCACAATCTCTGGTTGTAAATGCCAAAACAGAACGGAAAATAGCAAAGCATGAGCTAAAGCGAATAGCATTGGAACTGTAATGCAGCAGAGGAATTCTCCTCATCTTCAATTTGGCTAAGGAATCGCCGTGTGCCCTAATTTAGCGGGTGGTGTTCTGATCTATCGCGTTAAGGGTCTCATTTTGCCGCTCTACTATCATAAATAGGTGTTATTTATACCTAGTTTAAGTTTTCTATCAAAAAAATATTCCTACAGTTATACATTATATTTATCCCTTATACCTTAAAAACACCCTCCCATCTTTTAAAATCCACGTGGCATATCCTTATTGGACCAACTGACCCGCCCCATCTTTTTCTAATTCAAACCCGTCCCGATCCCAGCAACAGAGTAGCAAAGAACAGAAGCTAAAAAATAATGCTCACTTCTTTCGCTCAGAACTCTAGTTTAGCAAAGAACAGAAGTCATGGGTCTCTAATGCAGAGTAAGATACATTCCCACTAAAAAGTTCAAAATGTATAAGGCTGTAGTTTTGTTGCTGGAATCGGGGCGGGTTGAATTTTTTAAAAATGGGACGGGTCAGTTGGTTCAATAAGGGGATGCCTCGTGGATTTTAAAGGATGGAGGGTATTGTTAACGTGTAAGGGATAAATATGAACTTAATCTATAATTGTAGGGATATTTTTGATAGAAAACTTAAACTAGGGATAAATAAGACCTATTTATGATAGTGGAGCGGCAAATCACACTCTTTGCCGTTTAAAATAATTAGTTAATGCCTCGTATGAAAAAATAATTCCAAAATTTATTTTTGGATAATTCACCTAAGATCCCTCACAGTTTTAAGTTTTCACATGTTCAAATCAAATTTTCAAGTGACAGTACCATTCCCACCAATTTTAATTTATTTTTTTAAGTTAAAAAGCGATAAAATAATTGCTCTTTTTGTAAAGGAAATAACAAAAAATACCTATTTGAGCTCAAAATACGACTCGTCTACCTATCCTTCAATCCTCTTTGACCATGTGATAATGTTTCCTTCTCCAAATCTCTTCTATCTCCTAATCTCTTCACCAAATTTCACCCTCCTTCTATTTTTTTTCTTTTGAAAAGTGCTTAGAAGGAAGAAAATTTGACTTTAAAATTTCAGAACTGAAGAAAAAGAATTGAAATTCCAAGCGTATGAGTTTAAAATTTCATATCTGAATTCCAACCGATGATTTTCAAAGATGTCTAAGAAAAAGATTATATACCATTAAGGACCTTGATACTTGAAACATATAAACTGAGTTATCAAGTTTATAGTTTTCGTAGTCCGATTCTAATTGAGGTGTGCTAGAAATGCTAATTGGAGGCTGTGGCTAAATTTTGAGTCAATTTGGTTGAGATTTTGGAGTAGAATTTTAGATTTTTATATCAAAATTGAGTTGAACTAACGAACAAGACGAATTATATAGTTTATACCATTTTGATATATTGTATGCCGTTTTGGTATACGATATATAATCCAAGAGTATACAATTTCTCGTAATAATATATTATTATAGTATATAAAATAATGTAGTATGATGTTAGTAGATGGGTTCATAATGACACGTTTTAAATTTGATTTATTTATTTCTGTTAGCAATAAGGGTAAAGACAGGCCATTTAAGTAACGTAAGGGGTAGCCATAAGCCACTTTGCAAACAAAGGACAAATTTGCTCTATTTCGTATACTTTAGGGGTAAATTTGGCCATTTTTCTATTCAATGAATACGCAATGGGTAGAGTCGGTTAAATAATTTGGAACAGGTATAGCCCGGTAAATTATTTGGTTGTGTATTTAATTGTGAAGTTGTCCTTTTTTTAACAAACCAAAAAGTTAAATTCACACATGTACTTGCACTAAATTCTTTTTAAAAAATCAACTCCTTAACTCTCGAAATTTCTCAAATTTTACCCTTATAATTAATAGCATAAGTACTAAAAAACACTCAAACTGTTAATAAAATGGTTAAGTATAGATGTGAAGAAATCACATTGTATTTTTTGTCTTCACGCAATTACGAATAGCGTACATATAATATATGCCATTATTCTATTAATGATTATTAACGTATAATATGGGCAATTAATTATTATTAATAATAGGTAAATCTTTTGATGGATCATAATCATGTATTTAATCCAAATATAGCTAATACATTCAAATATAGCTTTAAAATCTTTATCTCAGCTCATATGATCATTCCACGCCAAAATCACCTTACACTCATAGTTTAAAGTTTCAAAAATCGAGTTAGAAATCTGGATTTCGTAAAATTTGATCCTCTTGTATCAATGGTTTATTGCAATTACAGTGCCCTTGTCATGATCGTGTGCGCGGATTATATCTAGCTTCGTTGCAGTTGCCGAATACCCTTCTGCCTTCGTGGTAACGAAGAGTTTTTACTACCTTATTTTACTGCTATCTCGTAATGTACCGCATTCATGGTACACCTACCATAAGCATTTGCTTAATTATTGCTATCGTAACTCCAAGATTAATCTTAATTTTCTATCTAACGACCCTAAAGCACGACAACCCTCGAAATTCTAAAGTAGAAAAATGAATAAAGTAGACTTAGAGCCCGTTTGGATTGGCTGAATTTAAGTAGCTCTTAAGAACTTGGTGCTTAAAGCACTTTTTAAATGCTGGAGCTTATTTTAGAAATAAGTAGTTACGTGTTTGGATAGAAGTGCTGGAGCTGAAAATAAGTTGATGATGTGTTTGGTAAAAAAGTGCTTATGAACACATTTTTTGTTATAAGGACTAAAATATTCTTAAAGCTGTTAACACTAAAAATGAGTTAATTACTACTCCCTCCGGTTCACAATAAGTGACCGATTTGCTTTTAGCACGCCCATTAAGAAAATACTAAATTCTATACAAAAATACCTACTATGACTACACTACCCCTAATTAAACATTTAATGTGAAGAGTAAGAAAACTATTTAGGGATATGTACATAGGGATTATTTTGTAAAAACAAATTGAATTCTTTATTGATTACATAACTGTACACTTATTTTGAACCAAAATAAAAAAAACAAATTGGACACTTATTGTGAACCGGAGGGAGTATAAGATCTTTTATTCTAAAGTAATTCTTATCTCAATTAATTTATGTCTCAAGTCACGTTAAATAAAATTAATTAGACAAATTTAAAAAATTATTTTAGTTTAAATTACTTTATCAAGTTAGATTTTGGGTTAACCTTTAGCACAACCTAATTTACTTAGAAGTTAAGAACGGATGTCCAGCTAACATGGCAACATTGGTATTGGTGATCAAACGATTCAACTTTCAAATAAGTTTAAAATTCATAAAAATTAAATGGAAGATAAACACATAAATAACATAGTCCTAGAATAGTAGGAATAGTTGAAATTTGGTACTGAGTTTTTTTACATTTGAGAAAATTCTAATAGACAAAATAATGATAATTAAAATTGTACACTTGCCTTCATTAGATTACATAGAGAATTTTTACCAATTTCCTGGGTGATACATTAGTGCACCAATTGTACTAAGATATGGTACTTCAGGACCAAGTAGCTCTTCATTCTTTTCTTGAGGTCGGAATGGATCCTTATTCACATCAAGTGATCGAACAACCATCGCAGTACTTAATGGATGTGCTCCATCCATGTAAAACCGTTTCAATACCTTTTCTATGTAGGTAGATTGATGAACGAAAATTTCGTTTGCCAAATGTTCAATTTGTAAACCGAGATATAATTTTGTCTTTCCGAGATCTTTCATCTCGAATTCCTTCTTTAAATAATCAATTGCCATTTGGAGTTCTATAGGAGTTCCAATAAGGTTTATGTCATCAACATATACGGCAAGTACAATAAATTCTGATGTTGTTTTCTTTATACAAACACATGGGCAAATGACATCATTTATATAACTTTCCTTTAATAAATACTAACTAAGACGAACCACATTCGTCCTGATTGCTTTAGACCATACAAAGATCTTTGCACTTGGATTGAAAACATTTTCCGGAACTTTGAATTATATGCGTTAGGCATTTTAAATCCCTCGGGAAATTTCATTTGTATCTCATTATCAAATAATCCATAAAGGTAGGCGGTAACCATATCCATTAAATACTTGTCAAGCTTTTTATGGACATCAAAACTAATGAGATAACGGAACGTTATAGCATCCATAACAGGTGAATATGTCTCTTCATAATCGACACGCCTTTGTGAAAATTCTTGTGCAACAAGGAGTGCCTTATATCTCTGTACCTCATTTTTTCTCATTCCTCTTGCGTACAAAGATCCATTTATAGGCAACTGGCTTAACATTATTAGGTGTTTGGACTAGAGGCCCAAAAGCTTCATATTTTGCTAGTGAATTCAACTCTGATTGGATTACTTCTTGCCATTTTGGCCAATCACGTCTTTGTCGACATTCTCCAACAGATTGAGGTTCAAGATCCTCACTATCTTGCATAATACTAGATGCAACATTATATGCAAAGACATAATCCACCACTATATCCAATCGATTCAAATCTGTCTCAATATCGATTGGATTTATTGATAGTTCCTTATTTTTATGAGTCTAAGGCTCGGTGATTTCCTCATGAATCTCAGGATTGGTTAAATCGTGGATTTCTTCATGAGACTCTTTCATAGTGTCATCTTGATCAATTGTTTTCCCTTTTCTAGGATTTTGATCCTTAGAACCTAATGGTTTGCTACGTTTTAGGCATGCTTTTGACTCGTTAGCTATGACACTAGAAGATTGTCCAATATGGACATCAATACGGATTAGAACATTCTCTGTAGGGATATGTGATTTTGTTATCCTTTTCAGATCCGTAAAAGCATGGGGCATTTGATTTGCTATTTTTTTGTAAATGAATAATCTTTTGCACCTCTTTTTCATAAATAGAGGCACGTGGATCAAGATGAGAATGATGAATTTTTTCACAAAATTTCCCGTTTGGTTTCATCATTTTCTTCCCCTAATTTTGGGAAAAAAGTCTCATCGACTCGACAGTCTGCAAATCGAGCAGTGAACAAATTTCCCGTTAATGTTTTGAGGTAGCGAATAATGGAGGGCAATTCAAACCCAACATATATTCCTAACCTTCTTTGGGGCCCATTTTGGTGCGATATGGCGGTGCTACAGATACATATTGATCAC